TGACAGAGTTTTGGCATCTATTATTGTGTTGACATTTGTGGCAAAACTGCTTCCTTTTTTCCTTTGCTTGCTGGAACTTGAGACTTTAGAGTTGATCCGAGTTTGTGGATCTTGGATGTTGCCAAACACTGGATCTGATGCGACATTTACTTCTTTTACTATAAAAGCAACCAGATGAGTGAACAAAGCTCGGTGGCCATTTTGCTCCTGCAGCTCATAAGCAGTAACTCTTCATTTTTCCCTCAGTTTATATGGAAGTTTCAATACGATCGTTCTCATGTTTGAAGGTAAATCCAATTATTTCATGTAAACAATTTGTTGTGTTAGATTTGAACATCCTTGAAGAGAAAGAGAGAATGATTGAAGACTTTTCACATCGTCACCTTTTATTGGTGTCCAACTCATAATCTTCTCCATATATGCAGAAGCTATTTTATTTTCATTTCCAAAATGTTCTTCAAGAAGATATTTGGCCCTGGAATAACCTAGCTCAGGAGGTAAGTGCTGACAACCGTGCACCAGATCTTTAGGCTGCCCCCTATTGAACTGCTCTAAGAAGTGCAAACAGTGGCTCCAGTTGTCAGTTTTAGCTTCCACTCCGTTCTCAAAAGCGTTCATAAATGATCTGTACTGCATTGGATCCCCATCAAACACGGGAATATTTCTAGATGGGAGGACAGACGATAAATTTTGTTTTACAAGTAAGGCAGTGATGTCATTTTGTCTCTGCATGATGTTCAGAAGATCATTCTGACAGTTCTCAGTCTCAGAGGAAGATTGAAATTGTGTTTGCTGCGTTGTTTGAGTTGAAGAATCAACTTTTACTCTCTTTTGATCCGTTTTAAGTTGTTTCTGCCTTCTGTCTGCCTTCTGTTTAGGTCTGACGATAGGAAAGTCAGATGAAGAATTTGCTCTTTCTTTGGGAAAAACTCATCAGCGCGAGGATTTAGCAGGGGCGTGTCCTTTACTGTAGCTCTTTCAAAATAAGAGTTAATTCTATCAGATCGTTTAGAACCAACGACTGAATTCATTAAGACATTAAGTTTTGCATTAGTTGCTGCCAACTCTATTTCCAAATCTAATTTTTCCTTTTCTTTCCTCAGATTTTCCTCTTGCTCTTCGATCAGATGTTTTTTGTCCAACGCGGCGAATCTCTCCATGTGCGCCGCCTTTTCAGCTGCAGCTTTAATGCGAGCAGAAGATGTGGACGAAGTCCGAGAATACTGTGAAGATGTTTTTGAACGTGGATTTACACTTGAAATATTAGAAACACTGTCCTCAGGACTTATTTCATCCACCTCTGCAACAAGAGCATCATCAACATTATTGTTCTGTTCTGCTTCATGCAACCAAACCTTTACATTGTCTATAAATTCAGAGAATGCCACCACCTTGGACTGAAAATGCACAGTTTGCCTTTTCACTTCTTCTTCTGGCAATGGGAAATTCAAAAAGAGTTCATGTAAATCAGTTCAATCAATCAATCAATCAAATTTTATTTGTATAGCACATTTCAGCTACAAGGCATTTCAAAGTGCTTTACATCATAAACACAAAACACAAAGGCATGCAACATAGAATAAAATACCAAGGTTTTTTTTTTTTCCTCTTTTTTCCCCTTTCTTCCCCCTTCCCTTTGACACGGAATTTAAGCGCCTGTTACCGCCGGACTCTGCCGTCCGTTTAACCACGGGTATTCGCCGGGCCCCGTTGCCCACAACAGGAAAAAAAAAAAAAAAAAAAGCAATTACATACATATCCACAAAATCAAATCCATACATATTACATTTCAAATGCAACTCTAAACAGGTGCGTTTTTACTTGAGATTTGAAGGAAGTCAGGGTTTCCGCTGTTTTACAGTTTTCTGGAAGTTTGTTCCAACTTTTTGGTCCATAGATGCTGAAAGCTGCTTCTCCTCTTTTGGTTCTGGTTCTGGGGATGCAGAGCAGACAGAACCAGAACCTGAGAGTCTGGAAGGTTGATACAACAAACAGTAGATCTTTGATGTATTGTGGTGCTAAACCGTTCAGTGATTTATAAACTAACAACAGTATTTTAAAATCTATTCTTTGAGCTACAGGGAGCCAGTGGAGGGACTTTAAAACTGCTGTTATGTCTCTATCTTCCTAGTTTTAGTGAGAACAGGAGCAGCAGCTTCTGGATCAGTTGTAGCTGTTTGATTGATTTGTTGGACAGGCCTGTGAAGATGCTGTTACAATAATCAATGCGACTAAAGACAAACGCATGAATGAGTTTCTCTAGATCTGGCTGAGACATTAGTCCTCTAATCCTGGAGATGTTCTTCAGGTGATAGAAGGCCGATTTTGTTACTGTCTTTATGTGGCTCTGGAGGTTCAAGTTTGAGTCCATCACTACTCCCAGGTTTCGGGCCTGATCGCTAGGTTTTAGTTGTAATAACTGAAGCTGTGCATTGACTCTAGATCTATAGCTCTAGATCTATAGCTCTAGATCGTTCCTCTTTAGGTCCAAAAATAATGACTTCAGTTTTATTTTTGTTCAGTTGGAGAAAGTTTTGGCACATCCACACATTTATCTGCTCTAAGCATTTATTCAGTGATTGGATGGGTTCAGAGTCACCTGGTGACATCGTAATGTAGAGCTGTGTGTCATCCGCATAGTTATGGTAGCTTATATTATTTCCTGTTATGACCTGAGCTTGTGGGAGAATATAAATATTAAATAAGAGGGGTCCTAGGATTGAACCTTGGGGTACCCACATGTGACCTTTGACCTCTTTGATGAGAAGTTTCCAATTGAAACAAAGAAATCCCTGTTCCTTATGTACGATTCCAACCACTCGCGCACCGAACCAGAGACTCCAACCCAACTTTCAAGTCGATTCAGTAATATGTCATGGTCGACAGTGTCAAAAGCTGCACTGAGGTCCAACAGAACCAGCACCGTGGTTCTGCCACAGTCCGTATTTATATGAATATCATTGAATACTTTTACGAGGGCAGTCTCCATGCTGTGGTGAGCATGAAAACCAGACTGGAAAGTGTCAAAGCAGTTGGTCATCATGAGGAAACTATTTAATTGTTTACACACAGTTTTTTCAATAACTTTGCTGATGAATGGGAGGTTTGAGTTGCATCTTGATAGCATTTAATAAACTTGACAAAGTCAGAAGACCCTTTCTTAACATTTTCTTGTGATGTCATTAATGCGGAGATTTTCTCCACAAGGTTTTCAGCTTGTTTACACTTTAAACTTAGTTTTTCTTGACATGTTTTCACATAAAACTCCAAACTCTTTTGTGTGAATTTGATGTTTCTTTTCTCTTGTGACTATGAGTGTCGTCCTCTTTGCTCTTTACATCCGACATTTTTAGCGATCCTTTAAATTATTTCAAACCTTTAAAGCGACATTATTCCACAAGGAATCCACAGGATGAAGCACAAACGTGTCTCTTTGTTTAAAGAGGTTGATTCTTGCGAACAAACATTTCCATGATGGGCATCGGCGCACGTCTGAATTCAATTACGCGTCAACTTGTCACATCAAACTCATCTCATCAGTCTTTGCAGTGAAATAATGTCTTTAAACTCCAATAGTTTCACTGTTTGTCCTTTACAGCTTGAACAATATTGCCACGTACCAGTTTGCTGAATGAGTAACGTGGCAATCCAGGCCTCACACAGCAAGTCGCTTGATTTCATCAAAGACGGTCCAAAACCTTTTGTTTATGGTAATCCTTGAGATCCATAAATCCAACGTGTCCAATGATGAAGAATTATTCCTTTTAATCCACAGGATGGCTCCTTACTTGATCCATGAGAAGGTCTTTACTTGATCCACGGGGCGGTTTTTACTTGATGTAGTGGCGATTGTTTGTTAAACCAAACATCCAAAAAAAAGTTCCATCAGCCACTATGAGGCACTGGGGTCCAGATTCTTGACACAAGCGAAAGAAGTTCAAGGTCCAAACTTGGAGATTGTCTTGGTTGCTTTCATTTTCCATTTATGCAAGCAATTACAATTATCAAACTTTTCTTAGTTCTCCTGACCTCTCTTGCACTGGTGAAAACCATAGGCCCCAAACCCAAATGCCTGCTGGTCCTTTACCAGGCCCCTACATTTATAGAATGTGGACTGACCCACCTTACTTCCTGTCTGGCTTACAAATAATAAAAAAAATTAAAAAAAATAAGGAAAAAATAAGAAAATGAAACAAAAAATAAAATCAATTATTAACCTGCAAATAAACTCTGTAAATAATGCAAAAAATAGAAGTTTAAGAATAAACTAACAAAATTCAAATGGATAAAGAAAGAAAGAATAAATAGCTCCAACACTCTGTAATAAACAGTTAATTCAATGAATCTTCCTCAACCTTTCTGCTAAACATAGCGCAATGTAGGACATCTTTTCTATGTAAATGCAATCACATTGTTGTATTCCAGATCTTATAGTGTTTATTGCATAACAACCAATAAAATCATAATTTGAAAGTAATTATTGATTAATAGGCAATAGTTATTACTAGTTTTATTATTATACCAATCTCGTGGTAACTGAATTGTGCTTGCGAGGAGAGTAATACATTTTTGTGGTGGACTATTGGCATAAATTTGACGCCATCGGACTTAATCTGTAGCTGGAGGTGATTTAGCTAATACTATGGTTTAGCTCCCTCTTTACTTTGACCCTTTCATACCATAGATTGTGCAGATTTTTGTTGAGTCTTTTCTGGTTTTCTGGACATACAACATTTGCATACTCAACTTTTACAAATCTGGACATGACAAACTGATTGGGGTTTTTCACACATCATACAAGCTGAATTTCATTTGATTTTTAAAAAAAAAATGTTTATTGGTTGTGCTGAAACTGGTGTCTCTTCTCTTTTGCCATGGGATTATTAGGTTCCCTGAGCTTTATGCACAGTTTACAGATCAGAGCGCTAGATAATGTTGAAGTTATGAGTGCTGTGAGTAATCGCAAATTAGAATTTAAAAAAAAAACATGCTGCACATACCTTATAGCCCCCACATGTCAATCCTGCATTCCTTTTAGCAAGGACACATTTCATCCTCAAAAAGAAGGATCGTTCAACTTCGTATTCTGGAAATCAAAGGATTGAGTCGCATGTTGTACATACAATATTACCTTTATATTCTTTATTGTTTTTCAGCAATATGGTGTAGAAGGCACTCAAGCTTAATGTAAATATAGAAACCAAAAACATACAAGGCAAACCTATTCTATGTTGCCCCACACTCAGCAGATTGAAAGGATTGAATGGTTTGATTTCGTTCTAGTTTAAGTGTTGCAATGTGATGAATGATCATATACATTAAAATTAGAACATTAATAACACTTTAGAACAACCTAAATTGTGAGAGTCTGAAGTACCTGGACAGAAGTGATGGTGAGGTGGCTGTTGAAAACTTAGTACTGTCGTCATCTCGTCATGATCTGATGGATGGATGTATTCAAATATACTGTTTCCTGTTAGCTCAACCTGCAACATCCACATTTGCAGCAGCTAGTATTTTTTCTAGGCTCTTTAGTATTCATTGTCACAACCAAACACTAATAGATCGATCCGAATCAAGTGCTTACAGACACAAAATGTAAGCTACTTATGATAATCCTTATAAATATATTAAAATATATATCAAATAGATTATATTACCTCATAATATATATAATTTATTTATGGGGGAAACTGTGTTTGAAAACAGTTTTTTCAGTTATTAAAAAACAAATTTAATGAATGAATTATGTCATACAAGAAAAAACCCACAGATCTGAGCTAGGGTCCTACCTGGGACAAGCCAAGGTGGACAGATGCTGTTTCGGAGATGTATATGATTTTCCCATCCGAAGCAACAACAAACAGAAAGCCATCTAGAGTCTGAAAAAACACAATGACAAGGTCGGAGACATTTTCCATCAGAAAGAAAGATGTAACTATTTAGCAAAATGCGAAAGGCATTTTGCTAAAATGCCAGCAAAAGGTTCTGCAGACATTTTAGAATAGGGTTAGGCTATATGAACACAGTTAGGCCATAAGAGATTCACAACTAAACACTAAATGGAATTGCATTTAAGTCAATGCAGTGAGCCCTCGTTTTTCGCGGGGTTACGTTCCAAAAAGAACCCGTGACAGGCCAAATCCGTGAAGTAATAACCTTTATTTATTTTTTACAATTATTACTCCATTATACATTTAAACCAAAGAACAAAAGCTTTTTACAGGCCCAAGCATTTGTTTGACAAATAAAAGTACTGTATTGATGTGTGTTTTGTTTTTTTACAAATAACTACTGTACTGTAAAATAAAACTTCAATCATCAATACGAACTTCAAATTGCAGAGATCAGCACCGCCCCACCGCGACCCGAGTCATTGGATTAGAACGGGAGAAGTTGAAAAATGATTATGAAAAAAACTACAAAGTCCAGTAGGACAAATAGTGACTCGCGTGTGTTCACTGCTGTTCTGACTGAGCCGCTGCATCCTGACTCCGCTCTGCAGCGGTTAGGGTCAGGTTATAGGGTTATAGGTATAGGTAGTTGTTGGCGCTCTTTTTTCTTCTGGGCAAAAAGATTCTTATAAACCGACATGCCATCATCGATTATGTTTGAGTAGCATGTCCAGAAGTTGAACTTTTTCTGCGATAGTTCGAATCTTCCTCTGCCTTTTGGGCCCGACCGCAAGTGCCTTTTTGTCGGTGCAGAACGTTTTGTCGACATTATGGGTTTTAGAGAAACTTGAAATCTCAAGAGAATTTGCAAAGGTAAATTTGCCGAGCTGTTTTCTGTACGTGTACATATTAAACCGCAACGTTATTGACACAGGTTATAGTTATAGGACAAATACACTGGTCACATTCTTAAACAATCAGAAGGCGAATAAACTGGTGAAAGTCATGGCGACATGTAAGTAAGATGTTTACCAATGTACTGATGATTTGTGCTTTGGTAATTAAGTCTCAGCAGTTTTTACTTAAATGTAATCCTATTCATATTGTGAGAAAGAGACGTCTGCTGTTTTTGCTTTTTTCCCAAGTTTTTTGTCATCACACACATTTAATTCCAGAAAAACATGCTAGTTTCAAATAATCATTTCATTTTCACTGGAAGATAATTATCTGAACCACCTTGTGTGAAAAAGAATTGCCTCCTAAACTTACAAATGTCATTTGCTGTTTGAGATAACTGTCAGTGATGTGGGGGAATTTTGGTCCACTTTCTTTTCAAAACTTTCTTTGTAATTCAACTCCATTGCTAGTTTTGAAGTATGCATGACCAGTTTGCAATTATACCACAGTACCTAAGTCTGAATGCCTTCTCTGTTTTTGAGCCATTCAGATATGGGTTTGTAGGGTCCGTTGATCATTGTAGAACCCAAACGCACTTCTGCAGCATTTTGCTGCAAACCTTTTTCACAGTTAAAATGTGTGAAAATTTTAACTGTGATCCAAAGATTAGGCAAAGCATAAATTAAAATCAAAGAGAGTGACTTAAATAAAAATGTCTTCAGCTGCTATTTAAATGAATAAAGATTCTGAAGACAAGATAAAAGCAAAGATAGCTCATTCCACAGTCAAGGTGCAACAGTCTTCAGAAGTTTCCCTCAAGTTTTATACCTGACCTTTGGGATAATGAGTAGAGCAAAATTAATTTCTTTCAAACTTGACAGCTTAGTTCAACTTAAAAAATAGGTGTTTATTTTCTCTTAGAAAAGATATAGATAGCCTGTGGAAAGCATTAAAACTAACTGAGTACAAAGCATTAGTGTAATTCAAAACACTACAACATGTCATATTCAAACAACAGCAGAAGAAAATGAAAGACAATATACTTACTTGTAAAAGGTGGGAGCTCATGTCTTTGGTCAAGACTTTCAGACCCAAACTTGGCAAATTATTCCATCCACCGATACCTATGTGACGGACACAATGATGTAAAGATATTTCAAGCTATATATCTGTCTGTGTATATGAATATGTATAGATACATAATTAAACAAGTGTTATGAAATACAATATTAACATTGAGAGCTTTAATATCTGATACAGCTAAATATTTAATGTCTACTGTTGTCCAAGGAGTATTTTGCTACCAGTACATCCACTAAATATTGTTCAGGTTTATTACTAACATTTTCCACAAATAAAAGCTCTCAATCTGTTACTGTGACAGCAACTCAGACTTGCATGGCCAGATTTGCTTAGCACTGACCAAATTTTTCCACTTTAAACACAAAGAATGTCTCAAGTCTTCTTATTTTGCCTTTGAAATCACACACTTTTCCACTGACCACACCTATGAACCAGCCGATGATATAAATTCAGCAGTTATTGCTGAAAGGATGTTTAAAATAAAGAATAAAGGGAATTTTCTGTTTGTGTGAAAAGCTGAATATGAGGGAGTTGTGAATGCAAGTTCTTGACCTTGCAATACTAAAGAAGGCTCCATTTATAATGTAAAGGTACAGATCAGTTTACAGGCTTCAAAATTGAACAGACTTCAGAAATGAATGGAAAATCTGAAAAAAAAGAAAAAAGTATATGCATTTTTAAGCTTTTTAGCTTTCAAAATTTGCTTCGGTAAACATACTGAATAACTATTGCATACATTTTTTGTAAATTCTGACAAGGAAGAAGTCATCTTTGGACCAGAACGTGTAAAAAAAAAAGCTGCTTCATCAATTACTTAATATGGATTTAATTGGATAGTGCAAGTCTGGACATGTGGTCACATGTCCAGAGGCAATGGATCTTCATTCCAAACACTGAAAGGCCTGCTGTGAATATTCACCTTTGTTACATCCCCACAGAGTTTCTGAACACCCATCAGCTGATTGGGGTGCTACATATGATATGATCCAAACAGGAGTTGCCAGGCTCCAGGATAAATATGCAGAAACTTTTTTATTCTCTAGAATAGCGCCAAATACTGTCTTTGAGAGACTCAAACATGGCACAAGTAATGAGGAGGAACAATGAGCAGGTAACCCCGTAACTGTCATCTCCAAACCCTTACATGTCAGAAGTAGGTTCATGAAACTTTCAAATATATATAGAGTGAAAAAAAGAGAAAGAGAGAGCGAGAGAGAAAGATTTTGATTTGATTTTTAAAAAGCTATTTATTCACTCAGTGGTGATACATAGGAACATTCAACAACTTCAAATTAGCACATTCATTAATGAGAGTTCAGAATTGTTTAAAGTAAATAAAACACCTTCATAATCCCAAATATTCTGAACAATATTTCGTTCATCCACTTTTAAATATTTATATTCTAACATCACTCTTGCTCTAACCATACTCTAAAGGATTTTTATACAATCAGTATTCTGTTCATTAATTTGAAATTTTTCACTCAAATATATTGCAAGCTTTGCTTGACTGAGAAAAAAATTTAACAGCCATCCAATTTTCTTCTTTCTTTTGCCATATAAGAAACTAAAAATAAAAGACTGTTCTGTAAAACTTTCTCCAAATAATTTTCTAATATTTCTTAATAATGTAAATCAAATCAAATTAAATTAAGTTTTATTTGTATAGCACATTTCAGCAGCAAGGCATTTCAAAGTGCTTTACATCATAAACACAAAAACACAAAGTCATGCATCATAGAATCAACAATACATTCATTGTTACATATTACATTTCAAATACAATTCTAAACAGGTGTGTTTTAAGTTGAGATTTAAACGAAGTCAGGGTTTCTGCTGGTTTACAGTTTTCTGGAAGTTTGTTCCAAATCTTTGGTGCATAGATGCTGAAAGCTGCTTCTCTTCTCTTGGTTCTGGGGATGCAGAGCAGAACCAGAACCAGAACCAGAACCTGAGAGTCTGGAAGGTTGATACAACAACAGCAGATCTTTGATGTATTGTGGTGCTAAACCGTTCAGTGATTTATAAACTAACAACAATATTTTAAAGTCTATTCTGCTGTTATGTCTCTATCTTCCTGGTTTTAGTGAGAACAAGAGCAGCAGCATTCTGGATCAGCTGCAGCTGGAGGATTGATTTGTTGGACAGGCCTGTGAAGACGCTGTTACAATAATCAATGTGACAAAAGATAAACACAAAGATGAGTTTCTCTTGATCTTACTGGGACATTAGTCCTTTAATCTTAGAAACGTTCTTCAGGTGATAAAAGGCCGACTTTGTAACTGTCTTTATGTGGCTCGCAAGGTTCAAGTCTGAGTCCATCACTACTCCCAGGTTCCGGGCTGATCGCTAGTTTTTAGTTGTAATAACTGAAGCTGTGCACTGACTCTAGATCTATAGCTCTAGATTGTTCCTCTTTAGGTCCAAAAATAATGACTTCAGTTTTGTTTCTGTTCAGCTGGAGAAAGTTTTGGCACATCCACACATTTATCTTAAATCATCAAAATCCATTTCTTCTTGTATTCCTTCTGGTGTAGTCGTTTGACTCTCTTCAGTTCCTTCAACAGAACTAACAAAATCCTTAAAGTCACATTTTGCAAGATTTGACAGTTTTTGCTCTCCAGTTGAAACTCCTTCCTCATTATTAATTTCTTGAGCTCCTTCCCCATCGGGAGCTACCGGGTCTCCCTCCCCAGCATCAGCCTCCGGAGCTCCCTCCTCAACTGCGCCCACTATAGCTCCATTCGCCATATCCACTGATGTCATCAGCTCTGGATTTTCATTAACCTGAACGGTCTCTTTTTGAACCTTTCCAGGGCAGTTGCGGACTGAATGTCCCTTCTGATTACAACCAAAACACCTCATCGTTTCCGTTGTCGCAAAAATAGTGTCATCAAAACCGTCAACCTTAAATTTCATCACTATGCTCAGTTACTCAATATCATTTTTAAGAATCATAAACACTTGTCATCTAAAGGACACAACATGTTTCAACTTTGCTGATTTGCAACCCAAAGGAAGCATTTTCATTGCTGACACTATCTGACCGTGACGTGACAATTCCTTCAGAAATGAAAGGTGGCAAATTAGACAAGATGATCTTTTTTGCCGGGTTTATTAAAGGGAAAACAGTAGTTTGCGTATTTCTCAAAACAATTCCCCTCTCAACTACGCTCTTTACCTTTTCAATTGAGTCCAAAAACAGAACCACTGCATTGTTCATTCTGGACACTGCTTTCACACTTTCACACCCAACAATTTCCCCAACAGCCAAACCACACTCCTCAACCGAGAAATCCACGCCAACTGGTATCTTAATGTCGTGTCTTCGTGAAAGGCTCCTAAAGCCTGCAGTACCATAACTTTTCCCGGCCATCGAAAAAACACTATTAAAAATACCGATAAAAACAAAATGTGTTAAAGTGCAAAAAAAGTGAAACACCACTGTGAAAAGTGAAGTTTAAACCTTTAGAAAACCTCGTGGTCCTCCAGCCGAGGTCCGGCCAGATCCACCACTCGTCCTAGGCAAAAAATTCCTGCAGTGTAAAAAACTCTTGACCAAGCCGTCTCTCCCCGCACAGGAAAAACCAGCAAACTCCCAGACAAAACTGGTTCTCGAAGCAACCAGTACAGAGACTCAGCTTGCCGCTGCCTCTCCTTCCTCAGTAAAGTCCACACCAAAAAGACACTCCTATAAAACCTTGGAAGAGAAAAAGAGCTCAGTTTGCTGGAGTCCATCAGAAAGAGCGGCAAATCCAGACCCATGCCGCCAATCCTCTGAAGAATGCCACACAAGATTCCTCTCCACACCAGATCCGTAGTTCCTGTGAGTAATCTCTGAATAAACTGAATACGGAAAGCAGCACCTCTGCTGGCCAGGTGGACCAGGCCTGGTCCACCTTCCTCTCTTGGCAAAAAAAGTACACTTTGTGGGATCCAATGAAGCTTGTCCCAAAAGAAATCCACCAACACCCAAGATCCATTTCCACTTCATCAGCCGACCCTTCACATTATCCGAAACATTGTCCCAATTTTTCTCTTCAAAAGCGTTATTACCCATAAAAACACCTAAATATTTAAAACCACCTGTCTTCCATACTAAGTCACCCGGCAGAATGAGTTGATCCTCCAACTGACTCCCAACCAATAGAGCTTCGCTCTTCCTCCAGTTTATTTTTGCAGATGAAATGCATCCAAAAAGAGACACAGTTTTAGCTAAAACATCAATGTCCACTTGTGAGTTTACAAAGACTATTAAGTCATCAGCATAGGCTGACAATTTTAAAGAAACATTACACCCAGTAATAAAAACACCACACAAGTCTTTCCTCAGTTTATGAAGCAAAGGTTCAATTGCCAAGGAATAGAGCATCCCTGACAAAGAACAACCTTGCCTCACACCCCTCGACACATTAAAAGGAGCACTCAGGCCACCATTTATTTTAATGACACTCGCAATGTCACGATACAAAACCCGGATCTTAGCTATGAAAGCAGGGCTGAACCCAAAAGTGGACAGAGTCTGCCATAAATATTGGTGTTCAACCCGGTCAAAAGCTTTTTCTTGATCTATGGAAATTAGACCAATATCTAAGCCCAATGAGCTGGAGAGTTCCAAAACGTCTCTAATTAAAGTGACATTGTCACTTATTAGCCTGCCCGGCACGCAATACGTCTGGTCCTTGTCGATGACAGAAGGCATCACTCTTCGGATTCTCGAAGCCAGGGCTTTGGAAAAGATCTTATAGTCTGTGCAGAGCAAAGAAACTGGCCGCCAGTTCTTCAGATCTTGTAGATCCCCTTTCTTCGGAAGCAGCGTGATGACGGCTCATCTACAGCTCAGAGGCAACCAGCCTCTCTGCAGACTATCTGCGATCACTTCCAACAGATCTTCGCCGATCACTGACCGAATGACTTGTAAAAATTCACAGGGAGACCGTCCACACCAGGGGATCTTCCACTCTTTAAGCTCATTAAAGCAGTATGCAGTTCATGCAGCGTAAGAGGAGCTTCCAGCTTTTGATTATCGTCATCGCTCACCCGAGGAAGTCCTTCGTAGAATGCTGCACTCACATCTGGTTCGTCTAAAAGTTCACACTTAAAAAGGTCTGTATAAAATCTGACAGCAAACCTCCTGATCTCAGATGAACAAGAGACAACAGAACCACTGTCAGTCCGCAGGGAGTGAATAATTCTTCTTTGCCCATTCTTCTGTTCAAGTCCAAAGAAAAAGTGAGACGGAGCATCCATCTCCGTTACATTTAGGAAACGCGATCTGATTAAGGCCCCTTTAGCTGCTGTGCCCAGCAGGTTGGCCAAAGTGGCCTTTTTAGCTTTGAGGGAAGCTAAACACCCTCGGTTTCCTGTAGACGCTGCCAACCCCTGCAGCTCTACTATCTGGACCTCCAGGTCCCTCATAGATCATGGTGAGTGTACTGTAAACACAACTGTTTAATTTGGCATTTCCCAAAATCCCACCACTGTTGGACACAAGAGAAATCTGATTTGGATTGCCCACAAACATGTTAAAGCTGTTCGGAAAGCTCCATCATTTAAAAGAGCTGTATTAAAATGCCAGTAGACGCTCTGGGTACGAACATTTTTTATATACACAGAACAATAGACCAGGCAGTGATCAGAGAATGATCACTGCCTGGTAGGAATGATGTGACAATTCTTAAAAATATTCAAATGATGTTTAAATGTATAAAACCAATCCAATCTGGCCAAGGACAAAACATTATCCTTGGAATGACTCCATGTATATTGTCTCTGAGTCTTATTAAAACACCGCCACACATCTAACAGGTCAGAGGTCGCAATTAGTTGCTTAAGTTTCCGAGAAGATCCAACATGAGGTTCTGGATGATTTCTATCAACCGATGGCATCTCAGTGCAGTTAAAATCACCTCCCAAAAACATATACTCATAATCAATACAGTCGTTCACTGTCTCTCTTAAAGTGTCCAAAAAAGCATCCTATCCATCCCTGTGGATGGAGCATATGCATTAATAAAGACCAAAGTCACTTTTTCATATTTGACCTTTACCTTCAATAAATGACCCTTGATTATTTCCTCTGTCTCACAAGAGATAGGCAAGAAGTTTTTTGAAAAAACAATCCCCACACCGCCACTGCAGCTGGACTTGTGACTAAAGAAAAACTCTCCTCCATATTCTTTCTTCCAATCACTCTCTATGTCAGCAGTGCTGTGCATTTCTTGAACTAACATTAGGCCTATATCAATTTTTTTAAGAGCCATAAGTACAAAAAGCTCAGCTCTTTTTACTGCATCCCTGGCACCATTTAGATTCAAAGTGCCTATATTAAAGTCACACATGGAAAAAGAGAAACAAAAGAGAAAAACTAGAGAAACATAAAGAAAGTCACGAAGCATCCTCATCTTCATCAGCAGTATTTGTTTGGGCTTTGACCTTTAACATCAGTTTCTTCAGGCGATAGATTTCCTGATCTGTCAACACATTGTCGGCAAGGTGTCCAGTTCTCCTGGTAAGGACCCGAGAGAAGTCAACGAACATTTTTAAATCCAGGAAATATTCCTCCACTTTGACAAGCCTGAGTCCTTTAGTTTTTTGTAAAAACTTCTTAATTTCAGCAGAAGTATACATATTCCTTTGGTCCTGGCTTAAAGACAGGCCACCATCAGAATCTAAACTGTGTTCTTCTGCCGTATTCGCTTTTCTTGGACCTAAAGGTTGTGGTGCTACTCGTAGTAGGGTCAGAACTTTTCCTCTTCTGCGACAGTGTCAAAAAATCCTCATCCATCATGCTGTCATCCTCACAAACGCTTTCACAAACAATTCCATCAGTTCTTCTGTCCTCTAAATCATCAGAGCGGTCACACTCATTGAAGAACTCAGGCTGTTCTCCCGCAACTGGAATGGAAGTACCCGCAAGAGACCCCGCAACCTCAAGATCCTCACTGACTACCATCAGGTCACTAGCGGCATCAACACCGCGCCCTACCTCAGCGGCATCGCGGCTCACACAAGCAACAACGCGACAAGGGCGCCGCTAAACGGTCCGCGTTAGCGGCGCCCTGGACAACAATACCATTGCCAACATTCACAACCTGTGTATTCTTAAGTTTCTCGGGACACGCACGAATTATATGACCTTCTGCACCACAGCCAAAACACTTCATGTTCTCTGATGAGGCAAACACCACATAATTAAAACCATCCACTTTAAAGTTAAAAGACAGGCTGAGCTCATTAGCCATGTCCTTTAGTATCATAAAAACCTGCCTCCTATGACACACAACATGTTTAAGAAGCGCAGATTTACAACCCAGAGAAACCATTTTAATGGGTGAAACCAACTGTCCATAACGAGAAGATCATTTTTGATAAACGGGGGTGCATTGGAAATGATTATCTTTTTAGCTGGACTAACAAGCGGGAGAACCGGTGTAAAGGTGTCATGGATGACAACGCCCCTTTCAACCAAATCGTTGACCTGAGATGTATTGTCAAGAAAAATCACAATCGCCCCATTCATACGGGAAGCAGATTTCACGCTTTCACAGCCTACCACACTTCCAACGGCTAAGGCTGCTTCCTCTACTGAGCAATTCACTGTCGGGATCAGCTTCACAGCATGTCGGCGTGTTAACTTTTCAAAACCAGCGCCACCCTCCATCACGGGCATAATGCCAAACGCCAAACTGACCCGGTAGTAAAAGACTACCGGGTCAGGTTAGGGAAAAAACCCAGAAACCAACTTAAAACCAAAGAACAGTAAGAAGAGGGGGAAAAACATGCAAAAAAAGGAGAAACAAAGCAGAAAAAGATTCACAAAATCACTCAATCAAGATCGCTCGGGTCTCCAACTCCAGTCACTCCGCCATTCTCATCGAGAGAGAGAGAGACATAGAGAGACAGAGAAAGAGACACACATAGAGAGACAGAGAAAGAGACACACGCAGAGAGAGAGAAAAAGAGACACAGAGAGACAGAGAAAGAGACACAGAGAGACAGAGAAAGAGACACAGAGGGACAGAGAGAGAGACAGAGAAAGAGACACAGAGAGAGAGAGACACACAGACAGAGACAAAGAGAGAAAGCGATGAAGACAATTTTATTTCAGTGCGATGGGGGAATTTTTCTGCCATAATTCAAAAGCACATATTTTCATTTTGAAAGCAGGATTATATGCCTTTCTTCTCAAAGAAAGGCATAGGCCTATACCAATATACCAAATACAGTAATGATAATAATAATATTAATAACCCTCATTATTTTTGTTAATATTAATATTCATTATTTAAGTCTATTCTTTATTTATAAAGAAAGATGCTGCAGCATCCATCCATCCATTTTCTTACACTCTTATCCCATTGGGTTTGAGGGCTGTTGGCGCCTGTCGTCAGTTATCAATGGCCAAGATATAGTTATAGCTAAACTTAAATTAAAGTAACATTAATATTGACAATAACAATAAGGCTTAGGGTAGAATTCTAATTATTATTATTATCATTACTATTTATTATTATTATTATTATTATTATTATTATTATTATTGACGAATAATAGAAGTTAAACCTAGTTTAGTTTGTATAGAATTATAAAATACTAATAAACATTCAAATAAAATAAATGTGCAAAGTCGTAAAACTCGAGTTTGTTATTATTACTGCATTATAAAATATAATCGGTGATGCAGATGTGCTGTCAAACTGTAAAAAGAATTAGAGCAGTTTTTAATGATCTCCATGCATATAAAGAACCGGAAAGTTCGAACCTTGTCCAGTTCGAGCAAAATGAAAGTTTTTAGGATTTTGTGTTTATTATTATTATTATTATTATTATTATTGTTGTTGTTGTTGTTGTTGTTGTTCTATTCTTTCGAGATTTTTTATTTTATTTATTTATTTTTTATTAGAAAGAATGAATACCTCATGCTTTGAACTGACTTTAAATGTGATGGCCTTCTATAGTTCTGAATTGGTAAAAATCTCTTACCGTCTGTGAAGAAAGCTCTCATCCTCAGGTAGCTGCTTGTCAGCCGGATAATGGAGGCCTTGTCCAGCTGGGAGGTGATGGCTGCCGGCAGGGGAAGCAGTTTTGCCAGCTCATAAAACTCCCTATTCTCTCTTTCTCTCCGCGTCTTTGCAGCGTTTTTAGATTTTTCTTTCATCTCTGGGACGGAATTTTGCACACATAAAAAAGACGCCAGCTCACCTCTTTCACGAGCGGTTCCCAGAAAAACGCGTGCTAACATTGGAGCATCACGATGACTGTCTCTAACCTTGAAATGATGGACGTCATTTTCATGCAAAAAAAAAAAAAAAAAAAGAAGAAGCCCTTTCCGGATTCCGCTATACTAACTCTGTAACCGCAAACTAACCTCTTTAAAACTTTAACAGGCTATCAACCTTTCTTATTCAGCTCAACGCAGTGTGAGAAAAATAAAGTTGCAGAATCATCTGGCAAAAACCAACAGGCTGTGCCGAGGTCTGAGGGAGGTTCTGAACACTGCAGCCGCATCTCTCTCTGTGTGTGTGTGTGTGTGTGTGGGGGGGGGGGGGGGGGGCGTGTGCAGGGGAGGGGTGTAAAGTCTGCCCAGAGTTTCATTCAACATTCATTTATTTTATTATCATTTTTTTTCTCCGAAGAGTTTTTGCGGACAGGAAAGAGGGCGAGGAGAGGGGGAAGACATGCGGCAAAGGTCGCCGGGACCGGGAGTCGAACCGGCAACGTCCGCGTCGAGGACTAAGGCCACCAAATGGGGCGTGCTAACCCAGCACGCCCCATTTATACAGAAAGATGCTGCAGCATCCTTCCTCAAAAATATTTTTTGTTTGACTTAACTATGAATGGTTCTTTTGTAAATTTCATGCAGTTTAAGAACAGCTCTTCAATCTCCTCTTGGTACTTGAGATTAGAAGTACCAACACCACACTGAACCGAGCCATGCCTCCAACTGATCCATTAAGGTGGTTGATTCAACCCAGTCACTATCCAACCACACCTAGCCAGTCCATGTCTCCATGTCACCTCACTGAACTGACCCAGATGTTTTTGACAGCTGAGCGCGGGTCTGCTGAAGCGTCCTTCTGGTTGAAATTTCCTTTGCACTGTCACCACATGCTGCAAATGTGGACAGCCTTTTCCAGGACAGCCTTTTCTGGAAAATACACCAAGCCTTTTTTTCCCCCTCTCTGTTGACCCATTCAATTCTCTGTTACCATCTGAATAATTTCATTTGTTTTTATTTAGCCTACATTTATACATGTTTCATTGAGATCCAAGATCTCATTTACAAGAAAAACTTGTTTTGGAGTTCTCTTGGAAATTGTGATGTTTCTTTGTTTTGTTTTTTTGCTTTCTTTTTTTTGTTTTGTTTTGTTTTGTTTTTTAATACAGATTTATTAATTTTCAGAATTTAAAATTCTTCTTGAACCGATGTATTAAGAATTTGGACTGTTCCATTGGTTGTTCTCAACAATTGTCTTTAAAAACGTTGCTTTTATAAAGTTTATAGTAATATTGGTTTATGTATTTACCTTTAAGATGGTCATAAGCATCATTTGTTTATGACGTCAAAGATGAGTTACACACTCTTCACTGACGCAGTGGAAAATTTTTTGATTTGATTCTGCAACTTGTATGATTTTGTTTATTTTTTATATGTATTATGCTTATTATTATTATTATTATTATTATTATTATTATTATTATTATTATTATTATTATTATTGTTGTTGTTTTATTAGTTTTTAGTTTTTTAGTTTTATTTTCCTCCGTAAATTCCTTGAGCGGAGATGAGGACAACAAGTAGGTAGAGCGCGAATGGCGAGCGTGATCAGAAAGAAAGAGAGAAAGGAAGAACAGAAAAAGGACAGGAAAAGTCGCCCTTCTTTCCGCTTCCCACGGTCGTCATGTTCTTCCCTGCCATAATTTCCTTCCTCTGCGGCGGAAGCGCGCAGTTCAGAAAGAGCAGATCCGATCGGCTGTGCTTCAATTCCAGGTATGAAGTCGTAATGTTTTGTCTTGTAAAAGAGTAAAAGATGAGTAGTTCTTCCGTTTACACATTTATTTTTCTCAGTTGTGTTTTGTGTCTCAGTGGCGGGCCGTGCATTTGGTACTCATGAAAAAAATAATTGTAGAACACAATTATTTGTCCTACAATTAATCTAAATAGATTTTAAAAATTAGAATACATTTTAAGAGCGCTATTTTGAAGCAACTTTCTTCGTTCTTAACAAATTTCAACTTGAATTGAAATTCTACGTAAAGTTTACTTTTTGTAAACTGGAACAACTTTATGTACGTTTACGAACGTTTTCATTTAAGTAGCTACTTTAAATATATTTGATTTTTCTTTTGCTTATTTTATGCTACAGTTATAAAAAAAAAATGTTATTTTAAGTGTATTCCCGAAAGTCTTTACATTGAACTTGTATCAGAAAGAAAATATATTAACATTCTTTCCTTACAAATATCTTATATAATAGTATTTAAAAAAGTCATTTTTTTTGCTCTTGTATTTGCATCTGACCTCCGAACTGATTCTCTCTAAATGTTCCATATAAACACAATACAAGGTCAAACCAACCTTTATTTAATGAACTACACTGAAAAAATAAGTCATTGGATGAACATAAAAAAATTATGGAAAGGATTTCCACGTGATTACTTTGCTTTATTTCAGCACCATGTACTTGTGTTACTCTTATTTAAAGCAAATGTGTTAGGTCAACCTAATTTATGAAGATTATTCCAATGTAAAGCAAATGTGTTGGCTCAACTTGTTACAATGGTGATTCAATGGGTGATTCTAAATCAAACATGTTGGCTCAACATAATATATTGTGGTTATTCTTATATAAATTAAATGAGTTGGCAAAACATAATTCATTAAGGTTGTTCTAATTTAAACCAAATGTGTTGGCTTAACCAGAATTATGGTAATGCAACGGATGATTGTAAATCAAATGAGTTGGCTCAACTCCATTCATTAAGGTTATTCAAATTCAAATGAAATGTGTTGGCTCAACATATTTTTTAAAGGTTCCTTTAACTCAGTTACTATAGAGTGACCCAGTGTAATGCAATACAGCCAGTCCAACTAATCTGCAATGTTTAGGACCAAATCATTGATGTAACTTCATTAAGATGAATGTAAATCTAGTTGAAACCACCTTATTTTACAGTGGTACCTTCACACTACCTGATTCAGTAGGTCCAACGCACTAAAAGCAAGTTAGCTCAACAAATATGCTTCATGCTAAAAGACAGCTAGTTAATCGTGTGGAAATCCTTTCCATTATTTCATGATGTTAATTCAAAGACATATTTTCAAGTGTTAATCAAGCATTTTAAGATAGCACTAGGTGAAAGTGTAGGAAGAACACTCAACAATTAGAAAAGGTACAACACAATTGTATTTTCAGAATTGTTATACATCGTTTTTTTACACAGCACAAAACACAGCCGAGTTGGACATTGAAATAAAAAACAACTACATAAAGGTTACAGTTTCATTTTCCATCTAATTCTTTACAACATAAAACATGTCAGTATAGTTGCTCAACTAAGAGAACTGTAACAATATAAATATTTTCTACTGCAGACTTTAAACACTCATTTTCCATATGAAACTTAACTCAACTGAGCGGCGAGTTTCATATTGAGAACTTGTGCTTTCTTTGATAAGTTCTTTCCATCCAATTTCATTATTATTTTCTGTATTACTTCAAAGGTATGCTTGAGTTACTGAGCAAGTTGAGTGCTGAACGCACTAAACTTGAGGGTAGCTCAAGTTTAGTGCGTAGATTAGTCCCAGCAGCATCACTATTGCAGAAGATACACTGCCCAAGCTGTTCATAACTTCCACCCCCTCCAGGACAATCCCAACATCCAGATGTGCATCGGCAGCCTCTGCACCCTCTGCTCAAATGACGATTCCGAGGACAGTCTCGGCTTTGGCCATTTCATTCATCAACGTCCTAAGGGAGTTAGGGAAGGGTATTGGGGGGAGACAATTCACATGTAATTAAATAAATAAATTAAGACTGACATTGATTGAGTCACTCATGGACCTTAGTTGGTGAAAGTATTTTAACAACTCTTAGGAGTTCTATTGTAAACACAAAGAGAATTTAACATACCATGTACTCCCTCACCAGCTTCTCTGGATCTTCATTTAGGTACACACACAGACCTTTGAGGATGCACTCTCGTCTGACCTCAGCAGTGTCTTCCTAAATATGCAGATCAAAAACAATGAGAACAATCTCAAAACTCCAGCAGTATAGGTTCACACACTTGAAAACATAGCTACATTCAAAGGAAGTCACAACAAAAGTGATCAGTGGCTTGCAGTCTATTTGAAAGATATTTAAAATTGTTAGTATCCCTTCATTATGCCATGACTAAAATGGAGTATAACATCTCATTTAAACATCTAACTGAAGCTGTTAGAGGTTTAAATAAAGACATGAATATATCACCAAAGAAATATGTGAAAAGTACAGAATGGTCAACACAGTCTATATCCTTCTACTTAAATGAATATGCAAAGCATTCCATGTCTTACAAGTACATGGACAGTCTATGTGTGGGCATGGATAACGTCGCATATGCCGGTGTTTAAGTGTAAAATGTTTTAACAGGTCATATCTACGAGACAGAAAGAGACTACACTCCTTACATTTCCACATCCCCACGCAAATAAAGACAAATAAACACAGACTGGCCAAATAAATGTTTAGCTGAACCCTAGCTTTATAAGCTCTCTAACACTACATTCAGTCACTTTAGATCTGGCAAAACTTACTATTAGCCACTGAAATCTATAACTTGATAGCCGATGACCCCCTTGACCAGAACTTACGCAGGTGGATTACAGACAGGTGATCAGGTGATGTTCTGAAAGAGATCAGATATATTTTCAGCCATTAAAATATGCAATTCATACTGAACTGAGTTGTATCTTTTAGTACAAGTCCCTTGAATGCCTCATGAATATAATTACTGGACACATGCAACACATATGTACAGAATAGTGGTGAATTGAACATGGTAGAAGCAATAGTAACATAGGTCAAAATGAGCACAAACAATCAACACAAAAAACATCAACATTTCAAAATTCAACCAATGAACTTCAATATTGTTTCTGAGCTACAATTA